TGCTACAAATATACCCCAGCGACTTAACACTGCTTTTGTGCTTCAAGGTCACATATGGGTAGCAAAAATCATTTTGAAATGTAATATGCAAAATGACAAGGCAATATGAAAAATGGCAATGTATTTTCCCCTACATATGTCAATGTACTGTATTTACTATAATGTGCAAAGTGCATAATAATTCATACACATTGTTTTGCTTCAAAGCGAGCTTTGTATTACTGTGATTCAGCGCAGAGCTGGTTTGTTTGGTTCATTAGAACTCATTAGAATTTGAAATCCTTATGGAGAAAATTAACTGGAAAAATACTCCCATAGTTTATGAATCTGGCCATCTCTTTTGCACTTTATTTGCATGCATGTTTGTATTGTATTGTAAGTATATCCTTTTACTGTTGCTTTTAATAAAAGAATGTGAAAAAAATTTAACAGTCTGATGTTTTAAATAAACAGTTTGAATGTAATAAATGATCAGTTTAAGCTAATTATATTTTCAGTGAAAAGATTGCTTGGTGAGCATGAACCAGTGTTATTTTGGGATCGCGAATATACTAGTATAGTTGTCATTCAAATTTTGAATTAGTTTTGAGTAATTTTTATATTAATTAAACTTTTAGTAATTTTGATTTTGTAATTGTTCTGTAATTTATTTAGATAAATGTCAATAGTTGTATTAATTTTATTTTAGTTTTAGTACTGAAAGTACAATGTAAATTAAGCAAAATATTGCCTTGGCAACTAATTAATAAAAATAAGTTTAGTTTCAGTAAATACCTTCAACAAGCCCACACTGAACTACACACTAGCCATACAGTATTTACTTGAAGTTTCTCTGAGATTTTAAGTTAGTTTCACTAATTAAGCAACACATTCACATGATCACTGGTCTCTGATATCAGTTAATGATCAAGTGACATAAAATATTTAATATCTGCATTCAATTATTGCAAAAAAAATGACAATAATATTGGATAATGTTGATAATTAAATGTTTAATTAAATTAGAAATGTTAAAGTAATTCTGCATATCTGATCAGATATTCTAAAAATCGTAACATACTGC